TTAAGAACGCCAACTGCCTAGACAAACCAGAGTAGTTTTGGAGCAATTACGTTCAGGATGGTGTAGTCGTGTCTATTCGTATTGGTCACGAATTCACGAAGATGTGTGTGATGTCTGCCCGACGTGTGATACAGGCCCGCACAATACGGTGGACTTCTTTTATTGCATAGCCAAAACTACCCAACTCATTCCACAAGATCTCTGGCTACAGCCTGTTAAAGTAACCGAATTTTTAAACCTGGAGTTTGAACCAGATTAGCAGAATACAAATGTGGTTATGTACTACTGCTACAACAACAACAACCAGAATTTCAGACTATTTACAAATAGTCTACAACCCGAAGATCATCATCGTCATACCCGGACATTCAACGTCCATACATCATGGTTCAAGAATATATAAGAATCTTCAAGAAACCGCGACACTAGCCGACCGGCGTTAACATCGAATTTCCGATCACCAATTTCCTACTGAAACTGAATTCCCAAGTATCTCTGAAGTCAATTCGTCATATTAGATTTATATTATCGCATTTAAGTAAGAGAGAATTTTAATTATGCCAATCAATAAAAAAATTGGAATTCCTCTCAGGAAGGGGAGAATTCTACCCTTTAGTGGGTCAAAAAATATACCTATTGGGGCACTTTTATGTCAACGTGGTAAGTATGTATAGGGTTGCCCATATTCGACGGACCCATGACTCTTTGGGCCCATTCCAATCGACGAGGCTTGTCCGCAGGCAACATTCTTTGCGTCAATTGAATTTTGCACGGGAACAAATGCAAATCAATGCGAATAATCCGTTGTAAAGTGGACCGAGCCATGCCCAACTGCTGAGAACGGCGTTTTTGGGATGATCTTGGGGACCTCTTAACACTGGCTCGTACGGCAGCGATATTCTCGGCCGATCGCCTTGGTCGACTTTTATATGGCCTCTTCGGATTAGAAAGAGCCTTACCAGTCGAAAATGTTTCGTATAAACGCTTAATGGTGTTCTTAGAAGGCGCACTTCTCACATTTTTTAATGTTTTAAAAGCACGTTGAGTTTTCACAATTGACTTCTTCTGTTGAATGCAAAATTTCAAAGCGCTCGCGTTGCGTGTATTGGTTCATGGTAAGAATCTGCTTGGATTGACGCTTCAAATACCGCGTTTGAAGCGATGTGACATCTCTGTCAAAAGTTATGGCGTTGCCAGATGGGTCCGTCGAATATGGACAACCCTGTACGCACTATGAACTATTGATGAATTTTGGCCGATAGCTTCAAAATGCGGAATATCATCGGAAAATCATCGAAATACCGAATATCGGGGGTACCGTTATATGGGGACCGATACAGCCTATCTTCGAACCTGACCTGCCTGCAGACAAAACACAGATCGGTGCAAAATTTTAGCTTCCACCTTCATTTGTTTTGACTCTAGCGTGATTACAACAGACGGACAGGCGGACAGGGCTAAATCGTCTTAGAATTTTACGCTCATCAACCAATGTACTTAAACTGCTCTGCAACTTAGTTGGAAAATATTCAAAAGGTTTCATTAAAAAGTCACATTTTCTAAATAGCTTCAATAATATTTGAAAAATATGTTCAAATTACCTTGAATTGAGGTCGTTAGGACCCAATAATTTATTACCCACACTTCACCGCGCGAAAAAAATCAGATCAATTGATGCATTGAAGGACGACACAGAACGTAATTTGTCTCAAATCGTGACTTGATGTAAAATAAAAAGTTACAATTTCCATCAATAAATATTTTAAGATTTCCGAGGCTATTCTGCTGCAATGACAGTAAATTGCTTTGCTTGACCAAATCACAGGATGGAGATGGATCGGGTTATTTATCCATTCTGTTAGCTGTTGCTGCTGCTGCTATTATTGCTTTGCTTCCATCCAGTTTCTCATGCAACTAGTTTCGGGATGCTCTAAAAGCAACAAAATTGCTTTTACTTCGTCATCCAAACAAAGAGCATCAATAACAGGAAAACTGGTAAGAAAATTACTCTAAAATGGAAATTCACAATAACCCCAAAATGGCCAATAATATTGAACAGATTTTCAATGTTGTTGTTGTTGTTGGGAGTTATTTATTTTAATGCACCCTATGCAAGGAGTGGAGGGTATGGTTGGTTGCGAAGCATTTTCTCAGCATAATGACAATCTAAGAGGGCACAAAAATAGAAGGAAGCAATGTAGAGGAAAATATATCTAATAAGACTGTCTAGGATTATAAGACCTTTGGAAGGTCTTCTACTGTTGGAAAAAGGTTTTAAGGCCTCCTACATACAGAAGTCCTTTCGAGTTTTTTCTATGATCAGCAGACCTATAGAAGATCTTTCTTTAAAAAGATCCCTTACGTGAGATGAACTTTAATATGACTTCTATAGATGGAAAATCGTTAAAATAGAGGTGGCCAAAAAATTATAGAAAGAGTTATGACATATCAGAGGTCTGATATGGTCAAAGGAGATTTCAGAGGAATTCCATGGACAGAAGATCGAGGTTTTCTAAGACCATTTTTTGTAGAGTCGATCTTTTATAGGTCTGCTTGGGAAACAAAAAGTTTATAAAGTCTAATATGGACAAAAGTGCGATCCGAAGACCTTCCAGAGGTCATCTGTGAGCAGAAGGAAGAGGTCTTCTTTGAACAAGTATTCTTTGAGCGGTCTTTTATGAATGGAAAACCTTAAAAAAATCTTGTAGGGACAAAATACTTTTTAGAGGCCTGTTTATAAGATAACTGTTCCTTATTCGGTTCAAAGCGATCAAATTTTAAATCGCTAAAAATTATTCGGATCGACAGGAACAGATTTTTCTCTCTGTGTAAGAAGTTGGCTTCCCAGGCATATAAAGAATGCCCGAAAGGAAAAAAATTAAATAAATTTTGTATTGTTGTTGAAATGACTTCGAAAGGCTGTCCTAGAGGGTTAGACAGATTTTCTCCCGAAAGGTCTGAGTCGAGCAAACGTAGGCTAGAAAGGGAGTTGTAGGCAACATTTTAATCTAAGAACACATCTCTCTACGATTTGTACTAAGTGAATGAAGGCTTTCTGAATCGTTTGGCAATGATTAGTTCTAACTTAGACAGACTTCCAGGGGTCATCTGTGGACAGAAGATGTTCTTCAAGTTTCTTGAAATATCACATGTATTCTATGGATGGAAAACCTTTTAGTAGTCTTCTGAAACAACAATTCTCTGAGGGGTATTTTATAGACGGAGGAACATCAAAGAGGTTTTTGAGAGGTTTTCTATGAAAGAAGACCTTTCTTAAAACTTCTGTGAACAAAATACCATTCTGACAAGTCCCATAGAACAAATATTGGCTAAGAACAAATTCCAGAGGTCTTCCATGGACATCAGAAATTTAACAGGTCTTCTTTGGAATGAATACATTTAAGAGGTCTTCCATGTGCCTTAGTCCTTTAAAAATTATTCGATTGATAGGGGACCCTAAAATGGCCTTCGCCTGTCGATGCCCTTTTAGAGGTCTCCTGTGGAAAGAACACCCTTCTGAGATCTTCGCAGGACGAAAGACCTTACTCACAGGATTTATGAACAACAGTCCATACTGACATATTCTATGGATCAGAGATCGGCTATGCTAGAAGATATTCCAGAGGTCTTCAATGGACAGCAGAAATTAAAGAGGACTTCTTTGGAGTGGATACATATAAGGCGTCTTCCATGTGCCCAAGGCCTTTAAAAATGATTCGATAGACATAGGACCTTGAAATAACCTGCTCCTTTAGATTAGTTTAATGGACCGCAAAACTTGAAAAGAGACTTCCATGAACTGGAACCCTTTATAATTACAAAACGGACAAAGGAGGTTCTAGATGTATTCCATGGAGAGAAGGTCAAAAAAATATAACTTATAAGTTAACTGGTCTAATATGGACAAAAGACCATTCCGAAGACCATCCAGAGGTCGTCTATGAACAGAAGATCTATAGATGGTATTTAATTACATCGCAAGGGCAGAAGGACCTTTAGTGGTCTTCTATGAACATGTGATGTTTCAGACGTCTTCTATGGGCTCAGGAAATTTAATAGGACAGAAAGTCTTCCGAGAACATTTTTTTTCAAAGGGCTTTTATGGACAGAAGACCTTCCAAAAGCCTTTAATGATAGTAAACCTCTTAGAAGGCTTCTGTGGAAAGACCTTTCTAAAGTCTTCAGTGGACGCAAGACCTTACTGGGAGGTTCTTTGAACAGAAAACATTTCTGACATGTTCTATAGACCAGAGATCGGTTATGGAAGAAGACATTCCAGAGGTTTTTTTATAGACAGGAGGAATTGAACAGGTCTTTCTTGGTACGGAGAGGTCTTCCATGTGCCCAAGACCTTTAAAAGATCATCACCTATAGATACCTTTTAAAGAAACCTCAATAAATTAAACACCTTTGAATATAAAATAAAACCTTCAAGGCTTCCCTCTTCGTAGAGCGCCCACAAGTTTCGCCATAGCCTTGCAAAGTTTGGCTATGGCGAAACTTTTTATTATTTTTATAAATTTTCTTGTAGATCTGTTTCATGGCATCTTCTTTGCTCTCTATATTTTGTTACCAGCATCATCATCAGCGGCAGCATCATTTCATGAGATTTCGCGTTTGTTTTGTTCATTTTGTCGTCGTTGCTGTAGCTGCTGACGCTTGAGAAACCCAACAAAAATCACGTTTATACCGTTGATGGTCAATGGATGTTGGAGCTTGTTTCTGAGGTTTGCTATGATTTTTTTCCATTACAATTTTATTTTTTTGGTTTCGTTGAGGATAAATGCTTGCAATTGGCTTTTTGAGAAATGACATATAAATGTTGAGCCACAAGATGGATGGCTGGCTGGCTGGATGAAATGAAGAAACTGGCTTTCAATACTGCAGAGTACAGGCCAGCTAGCCAGCCAGATTGACAATTGTAGACAATTTTGTGAAGTTTTTTCTTTGATTTTCATATAATTTTCATTTTAAGTTTAAAGTACTCGTGGGATACATACTTAAAGCAATTTCAGCGGTGTGGAGACTGGGGCAATAATGATCTGGCAGGGGTGGAGGCGGCTTGCCGAGAAAAAAAATTATTTCAATTGCGGCACGTCGAAGGTGTCCGTCTAGTGGTACTCCGAGCCAAATTAAGTACTCTTGAAATTATCTTTGATGAGATTTTAATTTTTGCAGATGTTTTATTATTTCCATTTTCTTTCCCAGCTACCCTCAATGCTACTCGATCAAAGGCCAAGCCAAGAAGTGGCGTTTTATTTTTGCAATATCTTAACATTAAAAAAAATATTTTTTTTCTGCATTCGTTCACAAGCTCCACTTGAGGTTGGAGTGGAAACGAATGGTTTCTTCATTAATTAATTTTTCTTCTTCATTTTTTTTCTATTCTCTTTTGTCACTTTGTTTTACCGCACTCTCTTCCATTTCATTTTGAGAGGGGGGGTTTAATACATTTCTTCTTGTTATAATTTTATTGTTTAAAACAATAAATCCATTCTTTCACTGCGGCCGGAGAAAAAGAATGTAAACTCAGCAAAGCTTTACTCACACATCAACACTTTATTTGCTCCGGAGGTAATGGCTTCCAAAAAAAAATTTAACACTTCCACAATTTTTCTTTTCAATTAATTCTTTCAGAATTTCACTCTAGATTTTCCAAACATTTTCAAATTGCACAACATAAATTTCCACTTCTCAACACTTTTCTTGAAATGATTTCCTTTTAAAATAATTTCCAATTGAATTTCTCTCTTTTTTCCCAAGATTTTTGTTAAACACAATTTATTTGGCACTCCGTACTTCCGCTATTCGAAAAAATACACGTCCAGAGTTAAAACAACTCTTTTAAAAACTAACCTCTGGGCTGGCTAATCCTCCATGGAGAGATACTCACGGTACACGAAAGTGTTTACCTCAATGCTGACCAACACCAATGCGACAACAATGCTCTTTGTTGATCACCTGTTTAGCTCCCCTGTTGGTGTTGACACTCTTCTCACAATGACTTTTTGAAAAATAACGATCAAATTGCACTCTCTCGCTCTCACTCCACACAAAGGTGGGTGAATGGCTAAACAACTCTTTTAGGGTATCATGTCAACACCAACAAACACACACATTTTCCGGCTTCTCATTAACAAACGGTGAGATCTTACCTTTACCTTACCTAACCAAACATTTCTCTTGGCCCGATGAGAGCGAGAGCCAACAAACAATCATACATACAGGTGTGTGTGGCGTCTTCTCCACAACTGTGTCGGCCGTGTGTAGACTTGAGCTCATTTACCTGGCCAGAATTGAGTGGTCGATAGCTCTGTCTCGCTCTAACAATTTGAATTTACAAGTTCTTGTTGTTATTGCCATGGATGGTGTTACCAACTACTGCCAATGAATTATCTGAAAGATATAATGGTTCTGTAAACAAAGTCGTTTCGTGGATGAGACTAGAATATTCTTATTGGGTAGTTAGTCAAACGTAAATGTAATGAGAGACGGTATTTGTACGCCAGGCGAGGTAAATTGTATTAAGTGGTTGTAAAATTATAAAAGATTGAAGAAACCATTAGAAATGGCATGAAGTTGTGACAAAAGCCGCTGATAATTAAGAACGTAACAATCCAGAAAAAACGACTATGCTTAGAATCTTGAAATTTGGCGTACTGGTAGCTGTTGTTGAGAGGGGTTGAGAAAAAGAGGGGTTTTTTGAAATTCGTATTAAAGGGTAATAAAAACTGCGTCTAAAATCCTTTACATTTAGGAATGTCACTATTGATACGAGATTTTAAAAGCTAATAAAAAATGCTAAAATATTGTTTTTACCATTCTATGGAGGGTATATTAACTTTGCCATTCCGTATGTAACTCCTTGCAATACTCCTGATAGACCCTACAAAGTATATATATTCTGGATCCGCGTAAAATTCTAATCACGCTGGAGTCAAAACGAATTAAGATAGAATGCTAAAATTTTGCACAGATAAGTATTTTTTCTGCAGGCAGGTTAAGTTCGAATATGGGCTATATCAGTTAATGTTATCGTATAGCTCCCATATAACGGTAAATCCCGATATTAGGTATTTTTATGATTTACCCATATTTTTCGATAGAATTGTCTGAAATTATACACATGGAGTTCTTTGTGAGTACTTTAGTCCCTGAAAAAAAATTGTCTATATAGGTCCACGATATCGTATATCCACCATATTCGATATTTTGATTATATGGAAGCTATATTAATTTTGTCATTCCGTTTGTAACACTTTGAAATATATATTCTAGACCCCACAAAGTATACATATTCTTGATCAGCATAAAATTCTATGTCGATTTAGCAATGTCCGTCCGTCTATCTATATGTCCCTCTGTGGAAATCACTCTAGCTTCCGAACGAAATGAAGTAGATTGATAAAATTTTAATCAAATATGTATTATGTCTGCAGGACTTTTGGTATTGAAAATGGACCATGTAGGTTTACGTCTTCGTATAGCCCCCATATCACGGTACCTCTCGATATGCGGTATTTTGATAATGTTAGCGACATTATTTACCGGAATTGTTTGAAATTCATAATGTATACTACAGCCCATGACAGAAAATGGGCCATGTAGGTCCACGTCTTCGTATAGCCTCCATATAACGGTACCTCCCCATATTCGGTATTTTGATGATTTTAACGACATTATGCACCGGAACTATTTCAAATTTGGTATTTGAATTTCGTAATGAATACTACAGCCTATGACAGAAAATTGTCTGCTCAGGTCCACGTCTTCGTATAACCCCCATATAACGGTACCCTCCGATATTAGGTATTTTGATGATTTTGGCTTCATTACTTACCGGAATTGTTTCAAATTTTGTATTTGAAGTTCGTAATGGATAATACAGCCTATACCATAGAATTGTCTTTTAATACCCTCCACCTTAGGGTAATGGAAACACCAAAACCAATTTTTAGACATATTCGTGGGAAAATGTGGCAAAAATCATCAAAATATGGAATATCGGGAGGTACCGCTATAAAGGGCTATACAAAAGCGTGGACCTACACATACAATATTTCGTCAACGGAGCTAGAACTCATTATGACTAACAAATTCCAATTTATAGACAAATCCGTGATAAAATGTGACAAAAACCATCAAAATACCGAATATCTAAAGATACCGATATATGGAGGCTATACCAAAGCGTGGACCTATACATACAATGTTTCGGCGCACGAACTAGGACCCATTATGACCTACAAATACCAATTTTCAGACAAATCCGTGAAAAAATGTGGTAAAATCATCATCAAAATACCGAATATCGGGAGGTACCGTTATATTGGGGCTATACGAAAACGTGGACCTATACACGCAAAGAACCCATTATAACCACAAATTCCAATTTTTAGACAAATCCATGAAAAAATGCAAAAATACCGAATATCGGAGGTACCGTTATATGGAGCCGAACTTTCAATACCATCCACCATTTGGTAAAAATTTAACAATTTTCAAAAAAATAAATAAATAAAATCCCTTAAAAATCTGTTAAAATCTTGAAAATACCTAATTAGAGTCTATACGACGATGTGGACATGCATAGGCAACTTTTGTCACAAGCTATTACAATATTCAAATGCGAAACTTGAAAAAAATCTGTTATTAATGCACAGGCAATTTTCTGTCATAGGCTGTAATATTGAACTTCACGAACTTCAAATACTAAATTGAATATAGTTCCGGTAAATAATCTCGCTAAAATGATCAAAATACCGAATATCGGGGGGTACCGTTACATGGGGGCTATACGAAGACGTAGACGTACATGGCCCATTTTCTGTTTTATGCTGTAGTATCTATTAAAAACGTCAACTACCAAATTTGAAACAATTCCGGTAAATAATGTCGATAAAATCATCAAAATACCGAATATCGGGAGGTACCGTTATATGGGGGCTATACGAAGACATGGACCTACATGGCCCATTTTCAATACCAAAAGTCCTGCAGACATAGTACAAATTTGAGTAAAATTTTATCAACCTACTTCAGTTCGTTCGGAAGGTAGAGTGATTTCCACAGACGGACGGACATTGATAAATCGGCATAGAATTTTATGCTGATCAAGAATATATATACTTTGTGGGGTCTAAAATGTATATTTCGAGGTGTTACAAACGGAATGACAAACTTAATATATTATTATATATTAATATATAAAAAATGATATTCTGATGTAGGCATTATATATATATATATATATATATATAGACAACAACAAGTCTATATTATTGTGAAAATTGTTTACCCAATTATAAAAGAAATTTCGATTTTATCGATTCAATGTACAAGGAAATGCTCTGGAATAGATTTTTGAGAGCATGTCTATCATATTTTTTTCCTCGTATTTCCGCCAATTTTCGGCGATATCGGAATAACATATTTTTCTACAATTTCCAATGCATTTCTGTTATGTCGCCTGCCATCTATTACCTGATGTAAAAATTAAAGCCCATATGCATTTTGTCCAATCTTTATAGTTTTATGTCTTTGAATGCATTTTGTCGAGCGACCTCTGTAAATTGAAATGAAAAATACACCTTCGCTTTTAGTCAAGACACGAAAAAAATCACCTTTACTAAAGCTTGCGTGTGTGGGGATTATTGGTTTCCTACACTAAATTTGGGCGTTAATAGGGGAGCTTTTTATTCAATGCGTTTATAATGTTAAGTACAAAGCTTTTCGTTAGGTGGGGCGGCGGCATACATTATAAAATGCCTACCTTCAAATGTTGGCATGAATAGCAAATGGCTATTGAAGTATCTGCATTTGCCTTCGGAAACTATGAAGCCAAAACAATTATTGTCAATAAACAGGAAAATACTGAGTTTGTAAATCATATTTCCGAGTGTTTTATGCATTGCTTCTCATTATAATGCCCAAATTCGACCATATTTTCGAAAGACAGTTTGTCTGGAAATGCATTTGGATATTATCCAAAACTGCATGGTCATCTAACAAATTTTGTAGTGGTTGGCAATGAAAGGTACAAAAAAGTATGAAAATAAACTTGTCATTGTTATTGAGAAGAACTTTTTGGTGGCCATACTTGGCAAGTGACTTGTGCGTTTTGTTAAAGACAATTAAATAGTTGTCTCAAAGGCGGTCGGTTAAATTTTTTCAGAAAAAAAATAAATTTAGTCTTTAGAAAAATATTTTCTAGAATTAAAAAGAGCTCCGAATGAAGAAGACTATTAGAAGAATACTATGTTAAAGCATCAAGGATAAAGGGAATACCTTCAATTCCTTGCATATATAGTCGATCTTTATGAGATCTTCTTCTGATAGAAGACATTTAAGAAGTTCTACATTTTTAGAAAATCTATAATTATAAGATCGGTAAGGCTGAAGGCCCTTAAGATGTCGGCTTAACTCTGGTTTAGTCAAATCTCTCAAATTTTTTGATTGGGTCAAGCAGGGCCGGCCGCCTTCAAAGATCTATATCTCTGGACTCAGGAAAGATAATAACACATATTG